ATTGACTTCCAAAAGACACATCTGTTTTTTTCCTTCCTCCTCAACCTCCCTCTGTATGCTCCCAATTTTGAATTTCTTTCTCCCTTGTTTCCCATTGCCTGAATGGCAAAGAAGAGAAAAAGAAATCAGTTTAAATCCTTCTCCATCCCAACCCTACATAAATCAGTGTCTAGAATCATATGGTTAAAAAACAAAGTTACATCACACATCACAACCTCTACATTTTTTTAGTGCACTGTGAACACCTAAAGTGTGACCTGAACACTACAAATTCCTGGGCTTAGCATATTTAAATAAAGAGCCCATAGATAACCACACAACGTTAAATCAGAGTAGAATGAAGCAGAGTTACTTTATAAGACCTTAGTGGAGATGGACAGAGTTAAGAGAGTTATATGGCTATAATTTTAAATAAATGAAATGAAAAAGAATACATATGTTTGCCATGCCGAGAACCAGTTCTTCTGCCTTCACAATGATTTATTTCTTCTTATAACTCGACATTCATTCATGATAGTGGATGAAAAATATGTGCTAAATTTCTTAAGAACTGAAAGCTACACAAGAAACCCCAAATATTTCAAATATAATTGAGTTCAAAAGTATAAATTTTTTTTAAGTATAAATTTTTATCAATTTATTTACCATGTTCTGTACTAAATTAAAAGACAGATATAGGAATAAGCTGGCAAGAACTACTGGGAAAAAAGGAAATCTTCTTGCCCACTTTAAAAAAACAAATGAACGAATATAAGCTAGGAACTCAAGAGCATTTGAGAATATAAGTATTTTAGTACTCTTTTGACTGGGTCTGAATGTGGATAGAGATGGACAAAATTTCTGAAAAATGATTTGAGAAAAAGTCAGAAGGTGATCTATCTGTGAATTAAGTAAAATGAGTCCTCATAAAGAAGCAGGCCAGAGAAAAAAGGATGAAAGATAAAAATACTAGCCGAGTTCCCAAAAAAAGGAAGAGACGGTATAACTAAGCAAGTAGAATTAAGATGCTGTGCGTGCGTGTGTGTGTTAGATGTGGGCTGGAGGTGAGATTTAAGCTTTATCAACCTTATCTACCACCACGTAGCTGTCAACTCATGAAAAAGAATATGAGGAGAGAATATACTTTAAGAAAGAGATTGCCAAAGCAACAGCTCATCAGCAAGCCCTGTCAGCTCCACCTCCAAAGCAGATTCCTAATCTTTACACTAGTTTTCTTTTCTCTAGATTACTGCCTTCAATTGGGGTTTCTATACTGTTACATTCCACCCACCATCAATCTCTTTTTCAGAGAGAATAGAACAGATCAAATAATTCTCCTACCCAATGCTCTCTGAAAGCTTCTCACTACACTTATAATAAAATCCAACTTACTACCATGGCCCTCAACTCCTTATAACCCACTAACCAGGGCCTACGAGGTTTGTGTAATATGGTCCTTGCCTGCCTCCCCAACCTCATCCTTCCCCAGTAACTCTGAATGTCACCATATAGTCTAACCCCACCAGCCTTCGTTTGTTTACAATTCACAAAGCTCGTTTCCACCTGGTCAAAGTCACGGTCTCCGATACTCCATTTAATATCCTTTAGGGCTATTTTTTCTTAGTCTTGGAATGCTCTGACAACCAGATTTTTCCACGGCTGAGTCCTTAATACTCAGGAACAGCTCAAATGTTATCTTCTGGTCACTTCTGACAACCCAGTAACACACAACACACACACATATACACACACAAATGTATCATACTGCCACCTTGTTTGTCTTCATAAACTTATCTATGTCTGAAATTATGTTGCTCATTTATTTGTATTATGTAACAACCTCCATACCCAAGATACACACACACACTTGTAAGTAAATTCCTTTTAGGGAATTCAGATATTCCTTGTCAAATCCCCAAAGTCTAGAACAATGCTGGTACCCAATAAATACTCACTATTTATCAAATGATAGATCCCATCTATCCCAAATTTTTTCCAAATCTTGTTTCTGTCTTGTATTTCTAGCATTTGTTCACTATCACTTCTCTTTTGTCTGCTCTCTTTTCTGAATGTCTTTTGGTCTTCATTTTTTTCTTCATTCATCTATACTGCAACACAAAGGAAAACAGAACAAGGAGCATAAAAAGAAGGACGTTAATGGTAATAGAAACTCAGTCAGCCTATGCTACTGACAGTGGGGCAGAAGGCCAAATAAAATGCCTCTTAAGGGCAGAGGCACTTATGATAGAATCCATCCATTAGAGCAGTTCTTAAAGACAGTTTCAAAAAGAAATTATGAAAGTAGCCTGCTTGTGGCCTTAAAAAAAGTACCATATGCCTTAAGGACACTTAGCAGTTCTTAAAAACTTTAACGTGCAAAAGGTTCAGATGCAGATTTTGAGATGATCTGAGAATCTGTACATTCAACAAATAGCTCCAGGTGATCCTGGTCTTAGGAAATTTTGAACTCTTTGGCCAAACAATAAACAGCAAGGACCTGAGGGATGGTATTACCAGGTGAATGGTTAGCCAGTAAACATCATCTTTTTCTAAAGATAAATTTTTAAAAATTAGTTTATTTGGCTGCACTGGGTATTAGTTGCGGCATACAAACTCTCAGTTGCAGCATGTGGGATGCTGCAACTCAGATCCCCTGCACTGGGACTGTGGAGTCTTAGCCACTAGGCCATCAGGGAAGTCTCAGTAATCTTTTTTCAAATCTCTACCTTGAAGCTAATTCTCAAGACAAGCAAATACCATTTTAATATTCGCTGAATATTACTTAAATTCATTGGTCTTTACCATTTTTAGCAACTTGCAAATTATAATAGCTACTACGAGAGAGTTACTATGCTCTAAATGCTATTATCAGCATTTTACATATATATCTTAATATTCCACTTTATAGATGCTGCTGCTGCTAAGTCGCTTCAGTCGTGTCCGACTCTGTGCAACCCCATAGACGGCAGCCCCCATCCCTGGGATTCTCCAGGCAAGAATACTGGAGTGGGTTGCCATGCCCTCCTCCTGGGGATCTTCCCCACCCAGGGATCGAACCCAGGGATAGTGCCACCTGGAAAGCCCATGGAGTCTATACCTCCCACTAATTATACATTAATAGAAATAAAATCAATAAATAAAATCTTTATTTTAGGTTTTTTTAATGGATAGAGGGCATTTTTCTCTTAAATATTGCTCACTTTAGAAAAAGACTGCATGGAATTTCATTACATGGTGAACTTTGACAGTATATTTAAGTACCTTAACAATGACAGGGATTCTCTGATGGCTCAAGTGGTAAAGAGTCTGCCTGCAACTCAGTAGACATAGAAGACACAGGTTCGATCCCTGGATCAGGAAGATTCCCCTAGAGGAGGAAATGGCAACCCATTCCAGTATTCTTGCCTGGAAAATCTCATGGACAGAGAAGCCTGGTGGGCTACAGTCCATGAGGTCTCAAAGAGTCGGACACGACTGAGCAGCCCCAGTGCACAGCGGTTTGTGTTCTTCCAAAGGACCACTGTACCTGACCAGATATAATGAACAATGACATGGTAACCCTGAAAACAAATAAACCTTAAAACTGCTTTTCTAAAACAATCACTATCTTCAATCAAAATCACTAAATATGAAGAACTGTTCACTATTTACAGATCAGTGGTTCTCAAACTGGGCTGATAACTAAGAATCACTTAAGGAGCATCTTAAACATAAAAATTCTGGGCTTCACAGCAGTTCTTCTGAATTGGGGTTTGACCCCCAAATGTTTACTTTTATAAAGCTTCGCAGGGTTTTCTGAGGAGTAAGGAGAATTCAGAATGTCTGTTACTCAGATTCCAGATTCTACAAGTGACTACATTGAGGACATAAAAGGGTGAAGTCTGCTAAAGACAGACAGCTAGTAAGTAGCACAGTAGGCTGGAAAAACAATATCCTAATCCTGCGTTTAATGCTTTCAACAACTACTCAAACTGCTGGTTTTGATAAAACGGTACTTATTTCTGCACTGCTGCTCAGGCCCTGGCAATAATTCACTATCCTCTTGCAACTTATTTTCTCATCTGCCAACTGGGAATAATAATAATGCCTACCTCTTAAGAGCTGCTGTGAGGATTAGTATATTAATTAGGTAATGCTCCTAACACAACACCTGCCATACACTGAATGCTCATTAAATAGGTTACATAGCCCACTGAAAGAGCATGCCTTTTTTTAATTAGGGAGAATTTACTAAACCACTCCAATTACAAAATGAGTAAGAAACCAATGTTTAGCTTCGGAAATCCAAAAGGACTTTAAACTCGGGGTAAGGTTAAGATCAAGAGCTTGCCTGATTCTCTCACAACAGTTTCTCATAGGGTGCCTCAGAATCATCTAGTGAACCAATCTCTGGAGGAAGACCAGGAAGCTGTATCTTTGGAATAACTCCCCTCCTCCCCTAACGAGGTGTTTCTTATGCAAACTCAGGTTTGATAGACGTTAGTATACAGAATCAGTGACCAAATGTCCTCTCAAGCTCCAGCAAAGAAACCTACTGTGCTCTGTAACCAGAAGAGCAGCGTCATCAGACCCTGATGCAAACAACAGCTGGGGACAGCTGTGGGGAATAACTGTGGGGACCCTCTCATCTCCTCAGAAACAGAATATTACTAAAGCGCGGTTCAGCAGACAGTGCTGCCTGTGCGGCCACAAGGAGCTACAGTTAACTCAGCAGCCTCTTTCCCAGGGATAAGGCCACAGGAAAACGACCTTGGAGGGTGTACTAGGCCGGAATGGCGCCAGGTTAACGACCCTCTGGCCCGTTTCCGGTGACGGCCAGGAGCCTACACTACACCACAAGCCAGACGACGGAAGTGCGTCATCCCAACATGCCGAGGAATGCCGGGAGTTGTAGTTAATTGGCTGTTTCTCTTGTGCCCCAATTCGCCTTTCTTCTAAGAAGCAGACACCTTGGAACCTTAATGCAGGTCGATGTATGACCCACAAATCTAATCCTTCCCTTTTCCAGATGACAAAGGGAGCTCTCAGAGCGCATGCGGAATACCGGACCACAAGTCCCAGCATGCTCTGCAGGGCGCCGGGAACCCCTAATCACCGTCGTAGGTGCGGGCCGCATGAATGGAGCTTCTGGCGTAAGGCAAAGCCCGCCACCGTCCGCGCGGCCGGTACCTGCTCCCAGAGCGTGAGTGTGGACTGTGGGCCGTGCGCGTGCGCGCTCAAAGGGGGCGCGAGGCGGGCACGCCCGGCCGTTGCCGGCGCGTGGCTGCTGAGGTTGGCGGCTGTAGTGCCGCGCGCCCGACTGACCGGTAGTTGCGGGGCCTCAAGCCCCGCTCCGGGCTGCGGGCAGCCGTGGCGGCCGCCGGCGACCGCAAGGGGCGGAGGAAAGCTGGGGGCGGAGGGGGGCGGCCTCGGCACGCAGAGGAACTGCAGGGCATGCCCCGAGAAAACATGGCCTCCCTTATCCAACGGATCGCCCGCCAGGCGTGCCTCACCTTCCGGGGCAGCGGGGGCGGCCGCAGCTCTTCCGACCGCTGCGAGGCGCCAGGCCCGGAGGCGCCGATACAGCAGGGCTTCCCGGAGAACCTGAGCAAGCTGAAGAGCCTGCTGACCCAGGTCCGCGCGGAGGACCTGAACATCTCCCCGCGTAAGGCCACGCTGCAGCCGCTGCGGCCCAACCTGCCGCCCGTCACCTATATGCACATCTGCGAGACCGACGGCTTCAGCCTCGGCGTGTTCCTGCTCAAGAGCGGCACCTCCATCCCGCTGCACGACCACCCGGGCATGCACGGCATCCTCAAGGTGCTCTACGGGACCGTGCGCATCAGCTGCATGGACAAGCTGGAGGTGGGCAGCGGGCAGCGGCCGCGGGCCCCGCCACCAGAGCAGCAGTTCGAGCCGCCTCTGCAGCCCCGGGAGCGGGACGCGGTACAGCCGGGCGTGCTGCGCTCGCGGGCAGAGTACACGGAGGCCAGCGGCCCGTGCTTCCTCACGCCGCAACGGGACAACCTGCACCAGATCGACGCCGTGGACGGGCCCGCCGCCTTCCTGGACATCCTGGCCCCTCCCTACGACCCCGACGACGGCCGGGACTGCCACTATTACCGAGTGCTGGAGCCTGTCAGGGCCAAGGAGGCCTCCGGCTCGGCCTGTGACCTGCCCCGAGAAGTGTGGCTCCTGGAGACCCCGCAGGCCGATGACTTCTGGTGCGAGGGGGAGCCTTATCCAGGTCCCAAGGTCTTCCCTTGAAGCCGCCGGCGCCCGAAAGCGGTGGGCCGAACACTTGCCCTACTCAGATCTAGGCTTGGCTGGCCGCGACCGCATCACAAGGGCTTTCTTCCTTCCCCCAGGTTGGGTGTTGGATCTACTGGAATGGGCAGTAGCCGCTTCCTCGGGAGTCTTGGGAAGCGCGGGCGACTGGATTGCAACCACCGGGCACGGTTTTGGGGGCGGAGTAGGAGGGGAAGCTAGGTTGTTGCCTGCCTCTGTCACTGCCACTGGGGTTTGAATTGGGGGGAGGGGGCGGGGGCAGGGGACTTATCTGAAGTGCTTCCATCTTAAAGCCATAATGAAAATTTTCTTTCCTCTGTTCACATCCTATTCAAAATACACAAAGTGGTTTTCTCCGCCCTCCTCCGGGTAAATAGGGTTTATTTTCCACTTGTGTCCTTATGTCCTTTTACTGCTTATTATTATAGTTCTAACTTATTGATGTTGCATGACCTAGTGGTTTGAATAGTTTTTAGTTCAAGTCATTGGTAAAAACTGGGTTTAAAGAGATGAGCTGCTATTTAAAGTAAACTGTCCGGCCTAATTAAGTTTTGTGAAAATTAAATCCATTTTTTCAGAGTTGAGGGATTACACTCAAACTAACTATGCATGTAGAGGACAAGATTTCTTTTTTTCCTCCCTTTGCCCAGTAACCATATCTCAGTTACGCTGGCAGCAAAAACTAAGCAATTCAAGCACCTGTATATCTCAGTGACAAATAATCACTTAGGGCTTCCCCACTGAGTCTCCAGATCGAGAGTTGAGCAGATGTTTTTATTGCAGGTTCACGTTCAATGCAAAAACTGTATTATCCTGAAGTGACTTTTATGTCTTAGTGTACTTTAGGAAGTAATAAAGTAATTCTGTATTTTCTAACCAGAGCTGAATCAGTATGCTTCCAAACAACTGAATGTAAAACACTGGTAGCCAGCTGTTGAATTCTGTGTGCCCCTATTTACTTCCAGTATTTTCCTGCAAAAGTAGAGGAAAACATTGATGACTGTTTCAGATTCTCTCAGGAGCGCTAAGGTTCCAGAGGCTGGTGGTTCCAGCTGTGTTGTTGGTGGCATTGTTCTTAGGACAGTCCCTCTCAAATAGGAGAGAGTCAGTGCTTGCTTCATCTGGGGTGGGTTTTCTGCAGGAAGAGAGGCACGGAAGACCAGGGCTAGAGAATTGAGGATTAACTATACTGCTAGCCACTTTAAGGCACCCAAACTTAGGACAAAACACTTCCCACTCTGAACCTCTTGAACAGCTGTGCTATCTGTGACTAGTTTTATCTTTGTCCTTCTAATAGGCTGAGCAGCTTTACCTTGTTTACAAATATATTGACACCATTTGCTTCAGTCCAAGGAACACTCCTGTTTCCCCCTTTTTATAGGATTCCTTTTTTCACAAAACTTTTAATAAAAACAAACTGTAGAAATAAATACATTAAAATTTGCCCAGCTGTTGTCTAAGCCCTCTTGATTGACTTACCCAGGTGGTAATTGAGTTCTAATATCTGTAATAAAGAGGGATTTGCTATTGGTGGAAAGTGATGACCCTGTAGGGAAGCAGTATGTGCCTTTCCCTCTTTGTACACTGAGTTACAGAGGCTCAGAGTGAAGGAAGGTTTGTTCCCAAACTTAGATGGAAAAGCAAATTCTTAATGATTTTTCTTAAAAATCAAAAAGATGGTACTCAACATGATATGCCACTGTGCTGTAAAACCTCAGAGAGGCATAATGCATTTCTTCCAGGTTGCTAAGTTGTTTTATGACAGTGTCCCATTCTGGTTTGATTTATTATACCTTAGGGGGAGTTTGAAGCACTTCTTCATGCTGTTTTGTTTGAAATTAAGTTCTAGATATGCAAATGATGACTCCTTTAAGATTGTTCACAAGGGTTTTTTTCATAACAGTGATGAATGTGTATGATTATCAACTACATACCTACCTGTTTTGAATTGTAGCAAAAAGTTGACCAACTTATAACAATTGTTGATGATGATGTTTAAGTTACAATGCAACCTGGAGTACATAAAACTAACCTACAAAAACTCATTCTGGCAATAGGACAGTAATAAAGGAGGAATTGTTTTTCCAAATTACATTAGGAAAATTTTTAAAGTTTTCAAGTACAAACAAGTTGAATGAAAAGACTAAGGTGCTTTTCAAAAGAGTAACTGAAATTATCACAGGCCAAAACAGCAATATATGTCTAATTTAGTTCAGTAAGAACAGTGGAACCTTTGGTTCACTAATAACTTCTGAATAAATTAGTGGTGAAAACAAAATTAACTTGTTTTAGTGAACCACTGAGGAAAGAATATCCTTAACACAAAGACAAAATATTGCAGAAAAGCTTTGCACTTTCTGCATAAACTCTTAGATATGATCATGTGCTGCTCTTGTGTGTTTCCTTATATTCCTGTAATATGGGTAACAACTATGGAAAAAAGCTGTCTTCTACAAGGACTAATGAACACAATGATATTAATCACTTTTCTGTTGAATAACAAATGCAATAACTGCCGCTCATCGATGAAAATTTGTCTAATACTTCTAAAGCTTTTTAACTCTGGTTATATCAATTTAGAGTATTATATATTTACCTACTACTTTATGGGAATTGATTTTTTTTTAATTAAGTCTGAATTGCATGGATGGAATTTACACTAACTGCTATTTACCAGTGAAACTGATGAACCGTTTTTTAAAGTAATGTGTGTTGGTCAACAGGAGTGGGTTATCTGACCTTTCAACACTAACAACCTTTAACTTTTCCCAAAACTGACATCTTTTATTCCTTCTGCATTGTCCCCTTGTAGGTGCATTAGTCTAGGCATCTCAGGAGGATTCTTATCACTGATCTCTTCCAAATGGTAGAATCTTGTGCTCCAGTTCTGCTCACTGAAGAAGCAATAGTGTGTTTTTAATTCAGGACTCTGCCCATTACTATTCAATTCTAACCTGAAGGCAGGGCCACTCTTGTAAGTCTCTTGTTCTGAATTCAGAACTTCATATCACACACACAAGCTGATCATTGATTCTTACAGTGCAATGAGTGTCAAAGAAGGAAATCATTTGTTAAGCCCCATATAGATAATGAATTCTGATCCAGGGATGTTTACATTTCTGGATTAAAATCTGTACTTGTGGAAAATAAAGGCATTTTGAAATTGTTTAGAGATAATCTTACTTGATTATTGCAAAATGGAGAAGGAAAATATTACTTGCTATGATGTCTATATTTGAATTACTGTAAAAGGTTCACAGTCTGTATGGTAAGATTATGTTGTACTAAAAAACTGGGGGTCTTCTGGAGATTCTAAAGTCCAAGTAATAATATAAACTTAATAGTTTATTTTCCTGTGTGTGATCTTTGAAACAACCTGATCAGAAATACATCTGAAATTATCTAACATGCAACCATACTATTTTGCTGCAACAAAAATACTGCTTTTATATTTAACCTAAGGAAAATAAGCTAGTGCAGAAAAAAGAAAAACAACTTTCATTCTTGGAGGAAAGAATCTTTGTACTTAAATATTTTCTTGTCTGCTTTTTCTGTAAAACTTGTTTAACTACTTTGGATTGGCAGAATTGTAGGCACTTGTGGTGAGGTGATAGTAACCTTCCTTCCCACCACCACCCCCAAGTTGAACTGAACTGTTAAAATATCACTACAGCCATTTTTAATATAGACCAAACAATTTGCCTTAGTTTCATTAGCAGTTAGGATATTGAAATTAAATTGCCTGGTTTACAAATAGTTGGAAACCTAACCTAAAATTAGTTAGACCTATTTTTAATGTGTACTGAACCATCTCAACTACTTTATGATCTTTAAGGAATTAGTCTCTGGATGTTTATTTTTAATAAGAATTCCCAGTAACAGCTGAAACATCTATAATATTATTTAATAAAGCATATTGACTAGAAGAGAGGAGACGTGTTAGCTTTATATGCTTTATTTCTTGGGCAGAGTAAAAAAATGAAACACCTGTGAAAAGTATCCTGAATGTTTCAAGCAGAGTAAAGTACGATTAAAGATTGACCTAACATGTTGAAATCAAGGAGTAAAACCCAGAAAGTTGGCTCTGAAAAAACACCAAGGTGTATTCCTTATGGTATGGTAACGCCAGGTCACCGAACCCACATCAAGGCAAAAGTGACTATGTAATCAATTTGACTATCAAAATGTCTTTCATCTTATTAAAAAAAGACTTTACAGTCTGTTGCATTGTAAATGATTGTTTACCTTGTCTTGATTGAAGGTGCTCTAAAATTAAAATTTGGCAAGACAATTATAAATCACATAAAACTTAGGTGTATTTATGGCTTCCTTGGTGGCTCAGGTTATAAAGAATCTGCCTGCAACGTGGGAGACCTGGGTTCGATCCCTGGGTCAGAAAAGTCCCCTGGAATGGCACCCCACTCCAGTGTTGTTGCCTTGAGAATCCCATGGACAGGAGCCTGGTGGGCTACAGTCTATGTGATGGCAGAGTTCGACCTGACTGAGCAACTAACATTTCATCTTCATTTAGGTTTATTTTAATATAATGTTTTAATAGGAGAGTATTATTAAAAAGTTATCAAAATGTGGCATTGTTGTATATATAACTTCTTTAACAAAATTGGCCAAGCAAGGATGATACTGTGCCAACAAGCTAGGAAATAATCTAATGGGATGACACCAGTACGACCTGACACCAGAACGATCTGACACCAGAGTTTAGAAAGTTCCGTTTAGTAGTTATGAGAGGTATTGTGCATCTTTGAAATAAGAACAGGGAAGAAATAAGGGTTAATTATCCCTGCAAATCAGATTTCAAATTCTAGTGCTGGTAAGGGCCAAAAAAAGAGTTCTCTGAGTAGCAGTCACTGTCTGCTGTTCTAAAATACAGGCCATCTATTATCAGCCATGTCTTAGTAACAGTGACAAAGGACAGACACAGTTTTCGAATGATGTATCTAGACAGTGGGCACTCCAGTGTGTTACACTTGTGCAAAGATCCAGAGGCAGTGAGTGAAGTTAAATATTCAGGTCCAGTTTTAGAGTAAAAAAGATAACAGACAATCTGTATTGTATTATAGATATTGTTGGGGGGGGGCAGTTAATTTATATTTTAAAATCACTACAAAAGGCTGTACTAAAATGACCCCTAGAGTATTGTTTTGCAAAGCATTATCCTACGAAGGGCCATATTTGCCTATTTGCTTCAGATTGTCTTTTGAGATTTTAAGGCTGGTGTATACCTATATCATCTAAAAAACTGGGTATTTGTCTCTAGACCCACCAGACCTATGGCAGAGAATGATCCTTCCAAATGGGTGTAATCGGGGCGACGGCTGGAGAGAAATGAGTCCTGGGGTAATTCCTTTGGTAACCCATTAATGCTGTCATCAGCAGTGCCTGAGTGCATTTTTGATCAGAAGAGGCGATAGCGCTTTTCAAAAAGTTTTCTGTGGTCGTGAGACTAATCCTGGAACCTGAAAGTCATTTCCAGCTTGACCACGCCACCACACTTTCCACAAAGCCACATCTCGTCTGAGTTCCAGGCTCTGGTCAGGGTTCTGAAAGCAGTCACAAATGTGTAGTCTCCGAGTGGGCACTTGTTTGTAAGTATTTATTTTCCGGAGCCCACTCAGGAGCAGAGAGAAGCTATAGGCTGTTACAGAGGACGGAACAATGAGTCAAAACAACGCCTCCCCACTTTTACACTAATGCATGGGGGAAATCCCCGAATGCTAGCGAATGCTCGCGTTTGATTATGAATGGAGATTGCTTTGTGGCAAGAGGGCCAGTGTGGAAAGACTAGCAGAGAAAACTTGGAGATCATGGCTTGGTCAAAGTACTAAAACCCACTGGGTACTGTTGAAGTCACACCCAATAAATCTTACATAAATAATCTCTGCAGCAAAAATATTGTTGAAAAGTTTATTTACACTATAGTCATAAACCATTCATTATCTGAATTTGAGTTAGTGGTTTTGTGTTAGAATAAATCATTTATATTTCCACAACTATTAAGAGCTAATAACCAAACAAGTCAGCTCCAGTAACATTATTTACATTCCTATCTGCAATTTGACTACAAAGGTAACACTTTTAATTCACAAAACAGAGCATACAAAAATATACTTTCTAAAAAAAATTCCAAATATTAATAGGCAGAAATATACAGCCATACTAAACCCAGGGAGTGATTTTTTTCCTCCATAGTAAGGCAACCCATTTACATGCAGACCCTGTAACATTGTCTACATCACACAAGGCACCAAGGACACGTCCAACACAATTGCATGCATCCTAGTTTCAGAGAATATATGTACATCCCCCTTTAAATAAGTTAACCTCTGACTCATTTCAAGAGATCATAAATGTTTTACTTTTTCTTTTCCCAAAGGTTCAGAACTTGGAGAACAGTGCACATCAAAAATACACAAAATCTGAATGGATATACACTGAAAAAATAGTCTTTTATGTTTCTCAAACCACTCAAAAAGAAGCAGGTATTGCTATGTCCCTCCCATCACATTGCACTTCTGTTCTCTAAGTTTATAATACATATTGCTTAAAGGGTTGAGATGACTAGATAAGCTTTGATTCACTTCTAGGGCAACAGAATGCAGCGTAAAGGCCATGCTTCGCCCACTGTACAGCATCCCCCAAATCAGTCCCAGGCCATTAAAGTGCACATCAGCTTTGCTTCTGCCTTTTTGCTGTCCGCATCTGAAGGGATCAGCATCTCCCAAACTACTGTAGAAAAAGTCTCAAATCAGTTCTGGCATCCAGACTCAAAAAACTAACCAGTCAAAATAAGAGAGGGGCAACAAAACCTAGTCAAACAACCCTTTAAAGTAGGGTCAGGCCTCAGCCCTCTAGGCCAGAGGCCCCCCCACCCAACTCCCTTCTGAGCCTCCCCATAACTTTGGGGTGACGGTCAACTCACCTAAGACAGACTAAGGTGGGCTAAGTTTTAGAAGCAGGCTAAGACCTGCTTCTAAGTGGAAAGAAGGGGGCGGGGTGGGGGGCAGTGCTAGGCTCCTTCAAGGCCCTTTGCCCAACGAAATGAGGGAAGGGCAGGAATGGGTGGTAGTGTTTGTCGTGCAGCTCCAATGGACGAAGGGCCTCCGGGGCCTCAAAGAGCTGGCGTGTCAAGGTGAGTCTCATCTCAGGGCGTCCGGGTCCGAGACGAGCAAGGGCCGAGGGACCCTCCACCAATAGTGCTGCTGTTGGCGCTGCACAGGGTGCCCCCGGCCTGCGCGCCCCCACTGCACGAGGCGCTGGAGGCGGCCGGCCCCGCCGAGGACGGGGCGCTGCTCTTACGCTCCTTCTGTCTCAGGTGGATCTTGGTGTGGCGCTTCCTCTCATCACTGCGGGCAAACTTGCGGCCGCAGTAATCACAGGCAAAGGGCTTCTCGCCAGTGTGGGTGCGGATGTGGGTAGTGAGGTGGTCGCTGCGGCTGAAGTTGCGCATGCAGATCCGACACTGGAAGGGCTTGTGCCCCGTGTGGATTCGGATGTGCCTGGTTAGCTCGTCCGAGCGGGAAAAGCGCCGGTCACAGCCTTCCGCTGGGCACGGGTAGGGCCTCTCGTGCACTGGGGTCTTGCTCGGCCTGTTAGGGTACTTTCGAGGCCTCAGAATGGGCCGCAGTGGCAGATGGTGTGGGTTGTAGGCGGCCGCGGCAGCCGCTGCCGAGCCAGTGCCAGGTAGCCGGGGTCCCTCGCTGCCTGAGCCGGCCCCCGGCCCTGTGGCCCCAGCACTGGGCCCTCCCAGGGTAAAGTTGCGGATGGTGGAGAGCGGAGTGAGTGGAGGGGGGACTCGCAGGGAGTCCAGGGGGCAGGGAAAGGGCTTGCGGTCTGGGCCAGCTGTACCGTGTAGGTCTCTCTGGCACTGTGAGGGGAAAAATCCAGGATAGTCTGGGATCATGGGGAAGAGACTTGGGTCCGTGGCTGGCTTGGGGGACGGATAGGAAGGAGGCGGTGGGTAGGCCAGAGAGGAGGAGGTGGAGGTGGTGGCCGCTGATAGGAACGCAGAGGGGTCCTGGTAGAGGTCGCCTCCACAGCCCGCGTAAGGAGGTGGCGGCGGCGGAGTGTAGAGGTGGTCCAGGTCAGGCTGGGTCTGGGACATGGTGCACACACCCAAGGGTCCAGTGGCCAGTGGGTTGGGGGAGGCAGAGGTGACGCTGGAGGAGGCTGTGGTGGAAGCTGGGGAGGTGACCCCCTGCAGGATGCCTGCACTCACAATGTTGATGATACCTTCTGGGTAGCAGCCGGCACCAGGGTACTGGGGGTCAATGGAGAACTTGCCCATGTAAGTGAAGGTCTGGTTTCGGGGTGCAGAGACCGGAGCAAAGCTGCTGGGATACGGAAGATCCAAGGGCCTCTTCTCTCCAGTCATGTCAATGTTGATCATGCCATCTGGGGAGGGGAAAAGAAGAATGGAGGTGGGGCATTGAGAATGCAGCCAGGAATCCCTCCTCACCCTTCTGTCTCACATGAGTCCCACCCCAAGGATCCCAGCACTGTAAAGCCAGGGCAGTATTCAACAGGTGGGGAAACTGTGGCCCAAAGATAGTAAAAAGAGGCTAGCCCAGGATCCTACTGTGGCAGCCAGCCACAGTCTAGGATTCAAACTACCTCCAGGAAAGCAGGATGAGCTACTCCCAACCCCCCACATACAGCCATCTGTGGCTCCAGTCCCCAATGAAAACACCCAATAATAGAAGCAGCAGTATTAAAAATTCCCCATCTGCCTGGAACTTCTCTCTCTGCTTTGCCTGAGGTCCCACGGCTAGGGCAGGCACTACCCAGGAGACTGACCCCAGTCAGTGCAGCGAAGGTGTCAGCCTGAGAGGTGAGCCAAAGAAGGGGGCCAGTGATTTCCCGGCTGCTCCCCACACCAGGTTCCTTCCTTCCCTCCCTCTCCCGCTGCTGGAGGGAATCGGGCTCTGCCATGGAGTCTATAGGTTTCCTTTCCCAGTCTTTTCAGCCTTGTCCCACACCTGCGCGGCCTCGCCTCAGCCCAAAGGCAGCGGCAGGGCTTCGAGGAAGGTACGCGCGCTTCAGGAGACCACTTGCCACCGCCAAGGAAACTCGCGGCGCCGGTGCCCTACGGGCCTCCCTTGGCAGCCACGGGGCCGCTTCCCGCCGTTGCCCGCCCTCCACCTCCTCCTCCCAAACGGGCCAACCCCCTCAACTTCGCGGGTAGCGCGCAGGTGGGGGCGCTCCTTCAGACCGAAGGAGGAGCGCGCTCCGAGATTTCTCCCGGGTCTCCTCTACCCAGGAGGAAGCGGCGGACGCTTTCCTCGGGCATCTCCGCCGCTCCGCTCTCCAGACGCTCAGCTTTCCGCCAGAGCCCCGAACTTCCCCATCACTTTGCCCCTACCCCGGGATTGGGGAGGCTGGGGTGCCGCCGGCAGAAAGGCTCGCATAAGCCCCGAAGCCTGCTGGGGCACCACCTCATACTTTTATCCCTGAGCCCGCCCGGGGCTGGGCGCGCCGCGGCGCACGCACGCCGGTTCGCTGGCAACCTGGTGCATCTGCCCGCGCGCCCAGCTCCAACGCCCGGGTTCCCGCTCCCGCTTTCCTCCTGCACCCCCTTCTATTCTTCAAATCCAGTTCAGTCAACACCTTCCACCTCTCCTCCAAGTCCCGCACACGCACGAAAACCCACCCACCACCTCCGAGCTGCGTGGGTCCCGGTTCGCGAAGAGGGCACGCGGCTTACCTCCAGCCACTCCGTTCATCTGGTCAAAGGGGCCTCCCAGTTCGGCATTGGGGAAAATGGTCACCGACGTGGGGGCGAGGTCCTCCACCGGGTAGATGTTGTCAGACAGCTGGTGCACAAAACCACTGAGAGTTACTGGGATTTTGTCTACGGCCTTGGCGGTCATCATTTGCTCCTCGCACAACCTGGAGACCCAACTCCCTCGCTACCTGGAGTGTCAGAGAAGCCGTTTTGGAGAGGGATTGGACTGAACCTAGGTTGGTATCTCCTTGAGCCCTCCACACTTGAAAGCAACTACCCCCCTTCAAAAAAAAAAAAAAAAATCTAACAGATCTAAAACTAGCAAACAAGTTGCTGGTTTTTTAAGAAGAAAGATGGCTATTTGCCACTGACTCTCCTGGGCTCCGGCCGGGAAGCCAGGAGTCGCTGGTGTAGTGTTATTATAACAGTCAGTGTGTCCCCTCGCCGAGCTATTAATCAATTGCTGCTCTCTCGGTTAGACGGAAAGTGTTGCTCTAAGTATTTATGGGCAGGTCCTCAATGCCCGTGACGTCACTGCCCATATATGGACTGAGGAACAGGGCTGGGCCTGGCGGCTTTTGCCGTCACATGGCCTATTTGCATAGGGGCTCGGCTGCGCGGGCTCCTCCGGGCTCGCGACGCCCAGCTAGCAGCCCGCAGGGGTCTGGGGCAGGTGGCCCGAGCCGCAGCCCGGGTCCAGGGCTCGGAGCCCGGCCGGAATGGGGCGTGCCACCGGTCCGGCTTAGGCCACTGTGGGAGAGCGATCGGGTCCCGGCTGCGGCGCGGCCTCCGGGGCGGGGAGGAATTCCGGTTCTCCGGGACTTTCCAAAAAAGGCGAAGATCCGGTGCCGGCAGCTCCGCCTCCCCAGCCCTTGTTTGGGAGCCATTCCGGAAAATTAAACTTCGGAAAGAAACCGAACGGAGCCGAGACACTACAGTCAAACCCCTACTCACTTTCTTGGCAGCTCAAAACCGCAAGCAAAAGGAGGCAGAAAAGAAAAAAAAAAAAAAGCTGCATGCATTCACGGAAGCTGACTGCTTTTTTCTGAATTACTTGGTGGAAAGAAGTGGCTGGTGATAAGAGTGAATGCGGTATTGCTTTTTTGGAAAGTCTGTTCTATTTATACAGGAGCGAAAACGGAACAGGTTTGGGGTTGTTTGTTTGTTTAAGTATTTTGGGCACCTTGAAGGGGGGGGGGTAGACCCTCGGAGGAGCAGATAACTGCTGGGAGCTTCGAAAGAAATCCTCAGCCGGAGACACCCCCCTTCCTCTGCCCGCGCGCTCCCCGCCCCCCTTCAGCTGCTGCGCTTAGCGGGCGCCCTTCCCGGCGCGTCTGGGCGGTCGGCTGTGTGGGGGCGTCCAGATGGAGGTTTGGACACTCACCCTGCCCCGCCACACACGCACACACACTCTTACACGCGCTCCACTTCCGCTACACACACTCCAGCCCCCGCCGCCTTCTTCACACACCCACTCGCACACCTTACGCTACACACCTCCCTGTTGACAGCGCGCCCGTGCGTCCGCCTCGCCGACAGAGTGACTGGTCGGCAAGAGCGGGCGCCTGGGTTTGCTCGACAGGGTGCTCTGCGAAAACACCCATCGTCACCTTCACACTGCCTGGACCGGCCCCCACCGCAGTCCCCCAACCCCAAAACCCTCCGGAAGGGCGCTCGGCCCACACCCGAGCCCTACTCCAAAACACACACATTAAGAAGAATATTCTTCCTTTCCCTGGCCAAGAGCCACCGCGGAGAGCCCAGCGAGGTCCAGAGTGATAGCAAACGGTGACGCTAACGCCAGTTTCGAGTCGCCATACACACTTTAACCTTTGAGAGTTAAAAAACAAAACAAAAAACTGGCCCCGACAAGAACCTTTATGCTTATTTCTCAAAACAATTTTTAAACTTTTCAGAGGTCTAGACTCTGGTCGGCTATTCTGACCTCTCCTATCTCCCGGCGCACCCTGGCTCGCCTTGGGAGCGCTCCGAGCCTGGCCGGGGTCTCGTAGGAGGCTGGTCTCAATCGCTCAAGCCTGGAGAGCGGAGGCCTGCCACCCCTTTCCCGCCCCCAAAGCAGCCGAGGCCTGGGACCTTGAGCGGGACTGCCTCTAGGGCCCGGCCCTGCCCTAGCCCGCGGCCAGCCAGGACAGCCCCAGCCTCGTGGGGGCGCGGGCGACCGAGAGCCACGGCGCCACGCCGTGGAGGCAGCGCGGCGCTGCAGGCGGCTCTCCCGCCGCTCACCTGCCGCGGCGAGCCCGCTCCCGCCCGGCCCCGCGCGCACGGCGGTCAGGGCCCCGGGGCGGCGGTGAGCGGCCTCCGCTCCTCTTCCCGCGCTCCGCTTCTCCCTCTGCCCGCCTCGAAATTGGCCGGCCATCTTCCTGACTTCAAACACCCAGAGAAATGTTGGGAAAGTTTTTTGCTGGCGCTGCGCGCTCTTTTCCAATTGGAGATAAAAATAAAAGGGGAAAGGCAGGAAGTCGCGGCAAGATTAGCACTCTTGTAGGTACCCCCACCCTCGGCAAAAACGTGAAAAGTTCCCGTTTCTTTAAAAAGGAAGAATAAAAGAAAGCTGCACTCTTACCACGTGCGCCAGCCCGCTCCGCCTGCGCTCCGGCCAGTCCTGCGGCCCCCGCGCTGACCACCGGCAAGACGACGCCTCGGAGGGGAGCCCGACTCGCATCTCCAGCCCTGAGTCCGAAAGAGTTGGGGGGGAGACCGAATTATGCAAATATGGGTCGTGGCAGCGGGGCTCGGGTTACGGCCCCCGCCGGCCTCCGAGGTGAGGCACCCACCGGCGGCAAGCGCGGGCGCCGCGACTGGTTGCGCTTCGCTCCTCTCCACGCACGTGGGCGGGCGGGCGGGCGAGTCACCGGGGCCGCCCCGCGGTGGGCGCCGCTGCCAACCCCGCGGGCGGCCACCGCGCGCCGCCCCGAGGGGGAGCTCCTGGACGTCCGAGTGCGAGTGCCGGGCGGGCTGGGCGCAGAGGGCAGGACGCAGGCCGGGGGCTGCCCGGGAAGGGGTGAGCCGCGCAGTCTTCCGCGGCTACCCTTCCCGAAGGAGGAGGCTGAGTGGGGATCAGATGGGGGATGGGACCCCAACGAGGAGAGGCGGGCTTGCCCGGCCCGTCAGAGAAGCTCGTTAGAGTAAATGGGAGTGACCGACACTGGAATTATTCGCAGTTTTCCAACAACTCACACCTCCTTTTGAGCTGCGCCACGTCAAGCCAGCTTTGCGCCAGGGGTGGGTTGGGGGCAGGGGCAAACAACAGCGGCAAGGAGGCTTTGCAGGCTCCGGGGAAAGGTGCCTGGGGCCAGTCCTGGGAGGCCTTCCCTGAACCTCCGCTGGAAACGGGTCAGTAGATTCTCTCCCTCCCTCTCTCCCTCTGTCCTTCTCTTCCTCTCTCTCGCTCTGCCTCCCTCAGCCCCTTTTAAGAGTAATAATGGAATAAAGTCCAGGCATACTCATTTCAAGGCAGCCATCCTGAGAATGGGTAATAAATTCGGAAAGCTGAAGTAACTTGCCTAGGTCGGGCAGCTGATAAGTGGTGGTGTCCAAACTTGCAACCGGGTCTTCCGACTCCAAGTACAATGCTCTGGATGCTACATTATTCATATGGAAAAACCCAATTCCAGAAAAAGAACGGCTCTTCGAGGACTGGGAGCCTGGCTCAGCCCATTAGGAAAGAAACAGGTCACCTTCGACAGCTTCATCTTTTTCCTTTGGCATTTCTGAGGAAAAGAGGAAAGCTGAAGTCAGGGGTTTCAAGAAGATGGGACAAGGTACTGTCATGGACATACCCCTCTCCCCAGATTGAAGGAAGAATTTTGAGTTCTTGGACTTTCCTAGGCTGTGTTATGGATGGAGTGACCAGGTTCCCACAAAGCTAGTATACTAATAGGCCCTGTAATAAGAGAAGCCAATCCCACAATATCCTTCCTGGAGTGAAGAAGTGAGGGTGGGGGGCGGGGAGGTAGAGACAAATAAAAATTCTAAAGGTGTTTACAGAGTAAGATACTGTGCCTGGGAGAGGAAGAAGGGGGAAGGTGGCAGTTGAATACAAAGATGTACTGTGGTCTCTACTTTTAGGCAGTTGAGCTTATTCTGATCAAAAGCTGAACAAATAAATTCTTTTCTTTAAAATATAATTGTCAAAATGCTCAAGTAAATGCAATCTTCCAAGATGGATCAGTGTTATTAAAAAAGAGTAACAAATTGATGCCAGATTCTGATTTGCTTTGTCCTGATTCCAGAGCCAGAGAGTACAAAAGGAAGGAAGCAGAGTCGCCCTTTAGGCCTGCCCTGTGATGGGGGTGAGGAGGAAGAGAGACAGCCTGAGGGTCTTGGCTGGCCCTCGAGGTCTACGCACCGAGTGGTTTTCAGCTTTTTTCCACCCTGTGGACTTGAGAATCACTCTATCAGCCATGAGGCATGTCACAAATAACTTGTTAACATTTGTATTTTGATTTATTAAGAAATATTTTTAAACAATTTTATAGACTATCCCTATTGTCATGTCATTTTCACTCACTTCCATTCTAACACTGACACTGGAGTGAAAAAGAAGTGTCAGAATTGCCTTTAACTATGGACACACACAAGGGTGTGAATCCTGAACTCAAAAAGCATAGCTCTGTGAACCTCAGTGATGTACAGACTAATTGCCAACTCTTCCATCCAGCCAAGCCTTTCTTAAAGGTGCCCTTCTGTGCTGAGAAAACTGCTAAGTGCCCTTCTGCATGCAGCATCTCACTATGAATCTGGTCATTTCAGGGACTGTAAACCAAACTGAGATTATGCCAAAGTTGTGAAGCCTGAGAGAATCATTGCTTCACACCAGTCTAACATCTAGCCAAATTCATGTGTCATTGGTACAAACAATCTGGATGGGGAAGTAAGATCCCTATGATCTTATTTTGTAGTGGCAGCAGCACTGGCCTAAGCAGAGGTTCCTTTAAGGTTAACTTTAGACTGAAGCAACTTAGCACGCACTCATGTCATAAGTCAACAGATATTTCCCTAGCATCTACTGTGTGTCAGGTGCTATGCCAAAGGCTATAGATCCCTAAAACTAAGCCTAGTTCCCAGGCCTTTGGAGCTTGCAGTCAATCACACAAATATACAATTGTAAACAATGACAATGTTTGACCCCAGTGAAGAAAAAAGGACAAAGGATCCGATTGAATCTAGGTCGGCTTCTTTAAGCAGAGATCTGAGGAATATGTGAGGCTTAGGGGAAGGTCCGTGGATAGAGTATTTCAGGGAGAAAGAGTCAGTATGAAAAAGACCCAGAGGTGCAGGGAAGCAAAGTGCATTTGTGGAATAAAGAAAGTTCAACGTGGGTGGAAACCTCCAGGCTGCCTTCCTTGCCTAGTGCACTGGAGCAGAGGGTAGCCAATCCAGCCAGGCTCCTTGAAAGCCCCTATCCTTCTCCCACCTTTCAAAAGACTTTAACTTCTCTGACTCTCCTTTTTCTCTGCCATTATCTTTTCCAGATAATGACAATGGCATTATCATTTTTACATTCGAGATTTATTTTTTTTACCACTCAGCTTCTGCAGCATGCCAACAAGATTCCATCAAGAAGAGAGAATATATACAGAAATACTTATTGGCATCAGCATTCTGTTTCAGTGACAGTCTTAATGAAATAACGTTCCTTAGTTGTCTATTTCTCCATACTGAAATGACAGACAATGTGAATTTTGTCCCATTTAAAATGAATAGAGTGGAGAAGTGCAGCCTTTCTAGTAGAAACACATCATGTCAAATCAATAGATCACTTTACCATTGCTGGCAAAGAATAAAAGGTAAATCAGTGCATTATTTATCACCGTTATGACAAGGTGCATATCAACCTAGGTTCCAGGTTAATAAGTGATAGTCTGTCAATCTGGTCATTAAGGCTCAAAGCAAAATCTCCATTCCAGGTCACACTTTTTTATGTCTTTAAAATCTTTCAACTTATGTATCTAATTGTACAAAAAATGAAGTTCACTATAATTCCTGGAATTTTTAAAGAGAAATTTATATTTAATCTTCATCTATAATTTCTGACTCACAGCTTCTAAAACCCTTGGAAGGGAAATTTCTGGATTTTTTAAGAACATATAACTAGCCTGCTTACATTACGGAGTTATAGGAAGCAAGTTTTGTTTTTCCAAATGATGCCAAATGTACTATGGAAGCTTTCTTTCTGCACTGAGAAAAGGACAGAGCAAATCAGTGCATCTAGTCGTCAGAGCACTTTTCTCAGTATTTAAATAAAAAAGAAGGACTTCCCTGGTGGTCCAGTGGCTAAGACTCTGCACTCCCAACACAGGGAGCCAGGATTCGATCTGGCCAGGGAACTAGGTCTCACATGCTGCAGCTAAGAGTTTGCAGCCTGCAATTAAAGATTCTACATGCTGCAATAAAGACCTAGAGCAACCAAATAAATTTATTTTCAATTCCTAAAAGGAAAAAAAAGAGAGACAGCCCCAAACATTTCATATTTCAACTAAATAATCTTAATAAGAATGGTCACCATTTCTTGTGGTTGATATTACGAGCTCTGAAGACCCATCTGGTCTGGGTTCAAATCATAGATCCTGGACCCAAAGTCTAACTCTGACAGTACCTGGCTCTTTGATCTTAACTAAGTTATTTAATTTCTCTGTGCCTCAGTTTCCTCAACTATAAAGTGGACAAAATGATTATGTATATATGCATATATACATATATAAAATATCTATATATATCATGAGTGTGTGTGCGTGCTGTGTGCTAAGTCACTTCAGTCATGTCTGACTCTGTGAGACTCTATGAACTATAGCCCCCCCAGGTTCCTCTGTTCATGGGGATCCTCCAGGCAAGAATCCTGGAGTGGGTTGCCTTGCCCTCCTCCAGGGGATCTTCCCAACCCCAGGATCGAAGCCATGTCTGTCTCCTGCATTGGCAGGTGGGTTCTTTGCCACTGGTGCCCCCTCATGAGTGTACTAAGGATTAAATACAGTGATATACACAAAGCACAGAGCATACTGTTAGCTATTAAATTATTACTATTATGGAACACCCATTTGGCAGACAGACACTGTACTATGTTTTTCTCAGTTCACTGCTTTATTCCTCACAACCACCTTGAAAATTAAGGTGTTTTACAGATGAGGGAACTAAGGCTCAGAGGAGATACCCAAATTCACCAAGTAAGGAAGTGGCAGAGCCAGAATATGCACTCTGTTCTCTCCATTTCCAGAGCCCACATCTTTCAAATATTGATACATCATGTGGTGCAGAGCAGCCTACAGCTGACTAAGATAAAGCTGATAAAGCATACGAGTAGCTATACTACAAATATTGATATGTGAGGTATTGGTAATATTTATTCTTAAATTCAGAGTTTCCACTTCCAAGAACAATGATGCTAGTGTTACTGAGGAGATCCAGGTGTGGGTTGTAAAGAGAAAAGCTAACCCAGAAAGCAGCACGGATTTGCATGGAACTCATAACAACCTCTACCCTTCTGGAAAACGTCATCTAAACTTGGAAAGCCAAGTTCCACTTTCCAATAATTGAACTGACACAATACCCCCCAATTTTTTCCCAGAGAGATCAAAATATATAACAGTAACAGTGTTGCTTTTTCAAGGAAGTTTGGAAATGTGGAATAGAAATTTTAATTTTTGGAAGAGTGGGTTAGTGAAT